TTTTTTTTTTTTTTTTTTTTTTTTTTTTTTTGGGACGGAGTTTCGCTCTCGTAAAGTTCCCCAGGCTGGAGTGCAATGGCGCGATCTCGGCTCACCGCAACCTCCGCCTCCTTGGTTCAGGCAATTCTCCTGCCTCAGCCTCCTGAGTAGCTGGGATTACAGGCACGCGCCACCATGCCCAGCTAATGTTTTGTATTTTTAGTAGAGACGGGGTTTCACTGTGTTGACCAGGATGGTCTCAATCTCTTGACCTCGTGATCCACCCGCCTCGGCCTCCCAAAGTGCTGGGATTACAGGCGTGAGCCACCGCGCCCGTCCCTCATGTTAATATTTTTAAAAGCTGCACAGAAATTCTGGAGTTGGACGGTACGGTTACTGAAATGAAAAATTCACTAGAGGCTGAACAGTTGATTTGAGCAGCCAGAAGAAAAAAATCTGCAAGCTTGAAGGTAGGAACCTTGAGATTGTTCAGGCTGAGGATGAGAAAGAAAAAAGAGAGAAGAAAACTTAACAGACTGAGAAACCCATGGTACACTGTCACTCAAATCAACATATGCATGATAATAGTCCTAAAAGGAGAGGAGAGAAAGGGTCAGAAAGAATGGCCAGAAGCTGATGAAAAACAATATCCTACTCACTCAAGAAGCTCAGTGAACTCCAGTGAATGAATATCAGAGATCCACACCTAGATATTTCATAATTAAAGTGTCAAATGACAAAGAATCTTGGAAACAGGAAGAGATGAGCAGCTTATCTTATACAAAGGATTTTTTATCAGATTAACAGCTCATTTCTCCTCAGAAACCAGGGAGCCCGAAGGCAGTGGGATGAAGACTGTATGAGGCAAAACTTTCAACTGTAATTATTGGATTTCTGAGTCTTCGATAGCCCTGACCTCTTTGTTTTCAGGGACAGTTTTTCAATTTAATCCCTAAAAACAATTCGTAAAACTTCCTTGACCTGTAGGAAGGCCTGTCTTTAGGCAAGGTGCAGTGGCTCACACCTGTGATCCCAGCACTTTGGGAGTCTGAGGTGGTTGGATCACCTGAGGTCAGAAGTTCAAGACCAGCCTGACCAACATGGCAAAATGCCATCTCTACTAAAAATACAAAAATTAGCCAGGTGTGGCGGTGCACACCTGTGGTCCCAGTTATTCAGGAGGCTGAGGCACAAGAATCGCTTGAACTCGGGAGGCAGAGAATGCAGTGAGCCGAGATCACACCACTGTATTCTAGCCTGGGAGCCTGGGTGACAGAGCAAGACTCCATCTCTCACAAAAAAAAAAAAAAAAAAAAAAAAGCGGGGGGAGTAGGGGGAAGACCTGTCTTTTACAGAGTTCCCTTCCCCAAGTTTTTCTAGAAATACCACAGAGATGCTTATGTGTTCCACCAAGTTTGGAACATGGTTAAGGAGTGAAAAATATCTGTGAAATGCATGTAATCTGTGTGGGTTGGTTATTTCCTTGGCCAGCTGTTTTCTGTGTGTTTTCTCGTTCTCCCTGCCTCAGGGCTGTTGCTTCACTCTTCATACCATGTTGCCTTAAATATGCAACGGCCTCTCTCCTACATTCTCAAAGTGCAGCTTTTAAAAATATTGTCAGGCATTTCATAACATTTTACTGAATGCTGGGAGATAGCAGAATGGAATTACAATACAGAAAAAGATGTTTTCTTCTCAAAGGGGAATTCACCCTTTACCTCAAGAAAAATAGAGCAATGGCCAAGAACAATAATGGTGGCCTCACCCCTGCCCATTAACCATCAAGGCTTCAACACATACTGGGGTCTAACCTCAACTAGTGTTACTCCAGGACATCATATGGAGCTGACTGACTGCTGATGTTTTGTTGTTGATAATAATGTGCATGTAGCACTTTATAGTTTTATTACTTTCTTATTTTCTTTCTCTCTTTCTTTTTTTTTTTTTTTTTTTTTGTGACAGCATCTTGCTCTGTCACCAGGCTGGAATACAGTGGCACCGTCAAAGCTCACTGCAGCCTCCACCTCCCGGGCTCAATCAATCCTCCCACCTCAGCTTCCCGAGTAGCTGGGACTACAGGCATGTGCCACCACACCCAGGTGATTTTTTTTTTTTTTTTTTTTTTTTTTTTGAGGCAGCGTCTTACTCTGTCACTTGACCTCCCAGGCTCAAATGATCCTCCTACATCAGCCTCCAGAGTAGCTAGGACTACAGGCATATGACACCATGCCTGGCTACGTTTTGTATTTTTTGTAGTGACTGTGTTGCCCAGGCTGGTCTGAAACTCCTGTGCTCAAGTGATCCTTCTGCATTGTCTTCTCAAAGCACTAGGATTACAGGCGTGAGCTACCGTGCTTGGTTAGTTTTATTTTATCAACCAGTTTTCCCTGGAACTGGTTATGGTTGTGGTTTTGCTGTTCATGGATGACAGACCCGAGGTTCAGAGAGATTCAGGGTCTCACTCACCTTCTCTAGAGTTAGAGGCAAGCTCTGACAGCAGCAAACCAGAGTCTGGCCCGGAGTTCTTAGAATATGCTGCTGTTCCTCAGGATGTGACAATATGGTGTGGCAGGTGTTACAGCGCACAGGGCTGCAAAGACCAATCTGAAACCCTCCCCCTTTCCTTCTGAAGTTGATCACTTGATGGACGTTTGCAGCTTTTATCGTAAGAGCCATTTGCTGTCACATGGCTTGTGGCCAGCTGGGAGTCTGCCTCCACCTAAGGCAGGGGTCTACTCCCTGCCATGTTGCCCAAGGCTGTTTCAGTAGGCCTTAAGGTTTTCTTCAGCCCTCCTGGCTTTGACTACCACATTCCAGCAGGTTGCGAAATAGCTGTTTTGTGTTTTTGCTGACCTGCACCATCTTTCCATCTTTTCAGATTCTGAGGTGGCAATTTCAGTATCTGGCAGAATGGGTTCCCCATTTTCTAATCCTGAGTTTTCTCAGTCGACTGAGTGGCTTAAGGAGGACAAGTTATTACTGTGCAGTATTCCAAGAAATGGTTCTTTCCTTCTGCATTTACTGCGCATCTGTGATGTGTACAGCTCCTTACTGGATGCCGTGAGGCCACAGGAAGATCTGATAAGGGCCTTGCCCTGAGTCATTTATCCCGTGGTTGGGAGAGAAGGAATGCACGTGCTGGACAAAATACATGCTTCATAGTGACCGGCTAACTGCAGGGTAGTAATGACCTCATCGGTCCTGCTTCTGTGCCAGGTGAGATGCCAAACGCATAAACATACACAGGGGGCTGGGCATGGCGGTTCATGCCTGTAATCTCAGCGTTTTGGGAGGCCGAGGCAGGTGGATCACCTGAGGTCACCAGCCTCTACTAAAATACAAAAAATTAGCTGGGTGTGGTGGCACGCACTTGTAATCCCAGCTACTAGGGAGGCTGAGGCAGGAGAATCACTTGAACCCAGGAGGCGGAGGTTGCAGTGAGCTGAGATCACCCCATTGCACCCCTGCCCGGATGACAGAGTGAGACTCTGTCTCAAAAAAAAACACACAAAAAATAAAATCGAAACACACATGGAATTACCAGGGGAGTGGCATAGCAGGGTTGAGAATATGGACCCTGGAGTCAGGCAGATGGGGTGGAGCTCAGGCTTAACCCCTGGTCAGCAAGTTCCTTAGCTTCAAGCCCTGGTTTCCTCATCTATAAAATGGGGGCGGTAAGACCTTCTTTGTCTGTGGGGACTGTTGGGGGTAGAGATCAAATGAAATAACTTCTGTACAAATGAAATAACACATGTTCATTCTGTACAAATGAAATAACACATAAACAAATGAAGTAACACAGTTTTGTGCATGATACCTATTGGACACATCATAATGGTGGCTCTGTTAATGGGACCAGTGATGAACGGTTACAAGGGAACTCCATGAGGAGAGGAGAACGTGAGTCCAAGGCCCTGCAAGGTGAGGGGACTCTCTCCAGTGCGCATGTGTGGTATTTGAGTTTCTAGGAGGGGAGTCCCTCCTGGACAGTGGTACAGGGAGTGAGGTCATGGTGATGAGACAGAGGATGATGCCGCAGCCCCCCTGGCGAGGTTGGAGAGTTGTGCCTACTTTGATCACTGTGGAATCCTCAGGGAAGTGGGAAGCAATGTTGGAATTTGTGCTGGCAGGGCACAGTGAGCATTAGGACTGGGAATTCATTCTGTGAGCCCCAGCTGTGTGTTGGGATTTGAGATAAGAAGTCCCTGAGATAATTCGGCCAGGACTACCCAGAGGTGGATGGGATTTTGGAAAACCTGTGGAAGTAGTGGGCGGCAGACTGGGAATGGGGAGAGTCAGAGGTTGGGTGGGGACTAGCTCAGCGTGGAATACAGCTCAGACATTCTGTAATGCTGCAAGTGTAGGTTAGGCAAGTGGTTGCAAGGGGAAGGAACATGCAGATATAAAGTGTCACAGAAGAAAAGGTGTCATGGGGCCAAGTGGAGGGAGGGATTGGAGAGCTCTTAATTGCAGCTCAGTCTTCAGCTTGAAATGCAGGGTGGGAAAAGCCACCCCATTCATTTAGCCAAAGGTAGCTGACCCCAAGACCTGAGGTTGGGGAAAAGAGGAGAGACAAATGGAAAAGAAATAGGGAATGGGGACAGGGCAGCATGTTTGGAGATGGCGGGCTTTTAAGCCCAGCTCAGTATTTCCCGAGAAAATTGAGTTTGCCTGAAACCAGAGCAATTATCCTTGAGACTTACCCAGAGAAATTGTTACCCAAAGAAGAGAGAGGTCTGGTAGGGCCTGAAGATTCTTAAGCTGGTTTTCCCCAGTTCTTGCCTCTTGGTGCCTCCCTTTTCTCCTTATCTAATGGTTTCTGGATGAGACTCATCTGTGGTGGGCCGCCTGCTGCTTGTCAAGACTATGCTGAAGGGCTAAGCCCTCTGGAAGAGCTGTCAGGAGAGAGACACCTTCAGGGTTCTTGGAGCTTTTCCCTTGATTCCAGGGCAAGACAGGTGGAAGCTGAAACTGCCTCCTAGCAAACAGATTTACACTGACCAAAACAATATATTCGTAGGTGTTAGATTTAAGAGGTTTAGGTTTTCCCTTGCTTTTTTTTTTTTTTTTTTTTTTAAAAAGAGTTTTGCTCTTTTTTCCCAGGCTGGGGTGCAATCTTGGCCTCCTGCAACCTCCGCCTACCAGGTTCAAGCGATTCTGCTACTGCAGCCTCCCGAGTAGCTGGGATTATAGGCATGCACCACCACGCCTGGCTAATTTTTTGTATTTTTAGTAGAGATGGGGTTTCTCCATGTTGGTCAGGTTGGTCTCAAACTCCTGACCTCAGGTGATCCACTGCCTCGGCCTCCTAAGGTGCTGGGATTATAGGTGGGAGCCACTGCACCCGACCTTCCATTGCATTTTTTTAGGTGCATTTTTTAGGTGAGAGAGATTTTAAAGAGAGGGATTCTCCTGGCAGACACAAAATATGAATTAAGAACTTTTAGTTATGTTTTTCTCCCAACTGCTTCTTGATATTCATAGTTCCTGTACTGGGACTTTGGAATGGGTTTTGGTGTGCAGAAAAGACAGGGCATTTGCTGCCAAGAGGGAAAGTCCATTGAGACTAAATTCACAAGATTAAGGATGGTGTGCTTTACCTTCCCGGACGAGCTGCGTCTGCTCCTGTATCTGGCTTCTTTCTTGTTGTTTTTATAGTACTAAATCAGTTTTCTTTCCCCGATGGCTAGCTTCTCCAGCTGGAGAGAACACACAGTTTAAAGAGGCTTTTCCCACCAGAGCCAGATTAAGGACACTTCCGGGCCAAAGGACAAATGTGCCATTTCTAGCAGATTTATGGCCCTAAAAGGACATTTCAGCCACTGCATCTGGGAGATTTTTGTCTCTGATCAGCTAGCCCGGCAGCGTAAGCCCAGCAGTTTAGTCATTGATGGAGTCCAACCAACGGGTCTCTATGGAACCCTGGGTTTGAGTGGACTGGAGTTCTATCCTTCCATTGAAATTATTTGAGACAGTAGAGTGCCTTCCATGCTGAAAACAGGTCTGATGTAACAATTACTGAAGGGGCAAAGGGAGCCCAGGTATGACCTAGATAACTCCTCAGAGATGTTTCCCTCGAACCTGATAGTCTTCTAGCAGGTTACCAAGCAGTAATCCAAAGAATTAGTGTTTAACTTTTAAAACAAAGGGTATTCAATTCAGCTCCCTAATACCTGCATCTGGTACAAACATTGAAATGTATAAACATCTTTTTTCTCTCTCCCCAGTAACCCAGTTCCCCTCCCAGAAGGCCACTTCTGGTGAAATTACCTTGTCTGCCCTTTTAGAGGTGGTTTGCCCTTTGAAACAGAAACATAGTTCTGTCGTTGGTTTCCCCCATGCTTTCTCTGCTCCATGCCCTTTTCACTTATCAGTGTATATTGGAAATCTTCCTGTGTCAGCACAGATAAAAAGTCGGCAGGACTCTGTGTGCCATTTCATGCTTTCTTTTTCATTTTGCCATTTGCTTGTTGCAAAATCCCTCACACTTACAGAAGACATATTTAAATCATATGTGTAGGTTAAAACAAAATAGTAAAATGAGCATCTATGTTCTCATCCTCCGGGTTAAGTTTGAGACCAGATAAGCCCCTATGTTCCCTCCCTAGTTATTCTTTTTTTTTGAGATGAAGTCCCACTCTGCTGTCCAGGCTGGAGTGCAGTGGTGTCATCTCGGCTGTCTGCAACCTCCAGCTCCCAGGTTCAAGTGATTCTTCTGCCTCACCCTCCCGAGTAGCTGGGATTACAGGTGTGTGCCACCATTTTTAGTAGAGACGAAGTTTCGTCATGTTGGCCAGGCTGGTCTCAAACTTCTGACCTTAGGTGGTTCACCTGTCACAGCCTCCCAAAGTGCTAGGACTGCAGGTGTGAGCCACCACACCCAGCACCCCAGCTATCCTGACTTTTGTGATATTCATTCTCTTGTTCTTGTTAGTTTTCCCTCCGACAGCCAATCTCTGAATAGCTTATTGTTTAATTTTGCCTGGTTTTGAACACCTGGACATGAAACCCGGCAGTACATTTCTGTTACTTGCTCAGCATTACATTTGCGATTCCTCCATGGGGAGGCACACGGCTCTGTTCATTTTCACTGCTGTAGAGCTTTCCATTGAATGAATACCCACAGTGTGTTTATCCTCTGTATTGCCCTGTTGCCAAGAAGCCCTTGGTCTGCTTTCTTTTTTTTTTTTTTTTTGTATTAGGAATAACCCTGCTGGGAACTTTTTTTTTTTTTTGATAGAGTCTCGCTCTGTTGCCCAGACTGGAGTGTAATGGCGTGATCTTGGCTTACTGCAGCCTCCGCCTCCTGGGTACAAGTAATTCTCCTGCCTCAGCCTCCTGAGTAGCAGGGACTACATACGCATACCACCCACCTGGCTAATTTTTGTATTTTTAGTAGAGACAGGGTTTCACCATATTAGCCAGGATGGTCTCAATCTCCTGACCTGGTGATCCACCCGCCTCAGCCTCCCAAAGTGCTGGGATTACAGGTGTGAGCCACCACGCCCAACTTTTATTTACTTATTTATTTTAAGACAGAGTCTCACTCTGTTGCCCGGCTGAAGTGCAGTGGCATCATCTCAGCGCACTGCAACGTCTGCCTCTCAGGTTCAAGTGATTCTCCTGCCTCAGCCTCCCAAGTAGCTGGGATTACAGGCACATGTTACCTGCCCAGCTAATTTTTGTATTTTTAATACAGACGGGGTTTTGCCATGTCGACCAGGCTGGTCTTGAACCCCTGACTTTGGTGATCTGCCCACCTCCGCCTCCCAAAATGCTGGAATTACAGGCCTCAGTCACTGCACCTGGTGGGAACATTCTTATGGTCGGCTCCTGGAACACATGAGCAAGAATGTCTCTGGGGTACAAACTAGGAGTGGAGTTGCTGGCATGTCTAACTCTTCTAGGTCATCCGAAACCAAAGTCGAGGTTTTAAAAACAATTTGCCCTTCTCCCACCAGCAATAAAGAGCACTGAGTATTTTCTGACCACCTAGGTGGTACGACTTTGGACTACAAGTCTGTGTGAAGGCTGTCCTGTGATTGCAGCTTCTTTGGGGGAGTTTTTCATTTTTCTAACTGGCTCAGTGCCAAGGATTTAGACAGTTGATTTTTCTCACCGGTAGTTCTTGGGAACGGGAAAGGGTAGATCACATTTATTTGTGGTTCACTCTTACGTTAAGGGAGTATCCTTTGGAAGTCCCAACTTCCCTGGGGGTAAGGTCTCCTTAGATTTCCCACCGTGGCTGGGCTCTGAGCTATGCTTCTGTGACCTTTTGAGGCTTTGAAAACTGAAGCTCAGGTTTGCCTAGTTCTGCAAATGCCCTCTAGATAAAAGCTTCATTGTTAACTTGCCTCCGTGGTTTCTCCTTCTTAGGGTTTTAGCCTAAGTGTTCCCTATTTTCTTGCCAACTTGTCTGTCCTTTTAAGACAAAATTTAATCTGGCCAGGCATGATGGCTCACGCCTGTATTCCTAGCACTTTGGGAGGCCTGGGTGAAAGGATCACTTGAGCCCAGGAGTTTGAGCCCAGACTGGATAACATAATGAGATCCCTGTCTCTATTTCAAAAAGCATGTAAAAAATAAAAAGGAGGCTGGGCACTGTGGCTCGCACCTGTAATCCCAGCACTTTGGGAGGCTGAGGCAGGTGTATCACTTGAGGTCAGGAGTTTGAGACCACTCTGGTCAACATGGTGAAACCCTGTCTCTACTAAAAATACAAAAATTAGCGGGGCATGGTGGCGTGAGCCTGTAATCCCAGTTACTCAGGAGGCTGAGGCAGGAGAATCACTTGAACCCTGGTGGCAGAGGTTGCAGTGAGCCAAGATTGCACCACTGCACTCCAGCCTGGACGATAGAGCAAGACTCCATCTCAAAAAAAAATTTTTTTTAATTAATATGTGTTAATTTATGTATACACACACACACACAAATACATACATGTGTATTTTATCTTGCATTAGTAGTTATTTTCAGCAGGAGGGATGGAAGTTTATTTAACTCTGCTGGAAAAACTCTGGTTAACCTTTAAAGTAATTCTTGCTTGCTTGGCTCCTTTCCTTTCCCTTTCCCTTCTTTCCTTTCCTTCTCTCTCTCCTTTCCTTCCCCTTTCCCTTCCCCCTCCCCCTTCCTTCCCTTTCCTTCCTCTTTCTTTTTTGCCAGAGTCTTGCTCTGTTGCTCAGATTGGAGTGCAGTGGTGCAATCTCAGCTCACTGCAACTTCCACCTCCCAGGTTCAAGCAATTCTCCTGCCTCAGCCTCCCGAGTAGCTGGGACTACCAGCATGCCACCATGCCCTGCTAATTTTTGTATATTTGGTAGAGATGGGGTTTCACCGTGTTAGCTAAGATGGTCTGGATTTCCTGACCTCATGATCCATCCGCTGTGGCTTCCCAAAGTGCTGGGATTACAGGCATGAGTCACCGCACCCAGCCTAAAGTAGCACTTTCTTTTCTTTTTTTTTAAAGTAGCACTTTTAAGATGAGCCTTTGCATCCCTAGGGTTGTGGCTTCCATTATCAGGGGTCCCTGGCTTTCATACTTGAGAAGTAAGCCTGCCGACACCACAGTGATGGACACCACAGTGATGAGACGGAAGTGGTTTGGGCCACTCCTCCAAAATTTTAGTACTATGCTTGGACCTGGAAATCTGACTCATGTTTCAAATTCACATGACATTGATTTGTCCCAGAAGACTACTGTATGAATTTATAATGGGAGATAGAATCTCTGGGGTCAGCCTCTTCTGGTTTAAAGATCTGTAGTTAGCCCGTCTGTACCAAGTAGGTCTCAGATGGTGGGTAGGTCGATTCTAGCATTCAATAAATAATAGTACAAATAGGGTTGCTTAGAGAGCAGGAATCACACACAGGCAATTGATACATGTCTTAAGGGATTTTTAAATGATAGTACCCTACTTTAGACCCTGACCCTCCTTATCTCTGGTTGCAGATTCCCACTTTCATGTAGTGTTTCTCTCCCACATATTTTGCTATCTTAGCCTTTTGATTTCTGAAAGTTCCCATAATAATTAATGCTCACTTTTTTTTTTTTTTTCTCTACTGGGTAGACTGAACACTCCATGGTCATTCTGATGGTGCCAAGTTCATCTTGGTAGGTGTTAATTTCAGGCTGGCCTGATTCTTGTTTTGTTTTTGTTTTTAGGTGGAGTCTCGCTTTGTTGCCCAGGCTGGAGTGCAGTGGCCTGATCCCAGCTCACCGCAACCTCCGCCTCCTGGGGTCAAGTGTTCTCCTGCTTCAGCCTCCCACGTAGCTGGGATTATAGGTGCCCACCACCGTGCCTGGCTAATTTTTTTATTTTTTAGTAGAAATGGGGTTTCACCATGTTGGTCACACCGGTCTCAAACTCCTGACCTCAGGTGATCTGCCCGCCTTGACATCAAAGTGCTGGGATTATAGGTGTGAGCCACCGGGCCTGGCCTTGATTATTGTTTTTTAAAAAAAATTTTCAAGCCTTTTTATGTTGTCCTGTTATCTGGATACAGAAAAAGGTACCTGTTTTATTTAATCTACATAGAGATTACTATCTTTTTGCAGTGCCCCTCCATTTCCAAGGTAGTTTCATGTGTGTGATCTCATTCAATGCTTGCCTGCCTTCCACATTTTAAAGGACTGGCCCCATGTCACAGCCTTCAGCCACTGAGTGTCAGGAAGGTTCATTATTGCCCCCTGGACACCAAGCTGTAGATGAACTTCACTTCCAAGAGTATTTGGCCTTTCATTTCGCACATTTCTGCAGAAGAGGAAGACAAGGGGACCATCACCTATTGATTTGTTCACATATACACAGGTTTTATTTTCCAGATTGGCATTTTTTATAGATATCTACCTTATTCATAATTGTATTCACATATTCTGAAGAAACTTTCCTTCAGAATACCTATTCATTTTTCATGTTCTCCTTTTCTAGTGCTCCCTTCTCCCCTCCCACCTTTTCCACACAAATTTTGTATTATTCATTGTCTCAGTTCTCTAAGTTGCCTTCTGAGTTCAGTGATTGTAGCCATCCCCTTTCTAGCACGTCTGTCTGTCTGTGAAGCTTTGCCTGCGTGGTGTTCAGTCATCATCCTCTTCCCCTTGCCCTGTCCGCACAGGTTCTCTCTTTCTGCATTCACTCCGCTCTCCAGGTTCCCTTCCTGTGCCAGGGAGAGGCCTTCCTGGCTCTTTAGTGGTTCTGCCCCCGGTCTGCTATCAGCCTGTCACGCTTACCTTATCACATTCACACCCATCTGTTCTCAGGTCCATTTTAAACATTTGTTTTACAATTAAAAAACAAATTAGGCCAGGCACAGTGTCTCACGCCTGTAATCCCAGTACTCTGGGAGGCCAAGGTGGGCAGATCGCCTGAGGTCAGGAGTTCGAGACCAGCCTGACCAACATGGAGAAACCCTGTCTCTACTAAAAATACAAAATTAGCTAGATGTGGTGGCACATGTCTGTAATCCCAGCTACTTGGGAGACTGAGACAGGAGAATCGCTTGAACTCAGGAGGTGGAGGTTGCGGTAAGCCTAGGTCACACCATTACATTCCAGCCTGGGCAACAAGAGCGAAACTCCATCTCAAAAAAAAAAAAATTACATATTTAAAATGTAATGTGTGGATGGGTATTCACAGCAGCATTATTCAAATACAAAAAAAAATTAGCCGGGTGTGGTGATGCATACCTGTAATCCCAGCTACTCAAGAGGCTGAGGTGGGAGAATCGCTTGAACCCAGGAGGCAGAGTTGGCAGTGAGCCGAGATGGCGCCATTGCACTCCAGCCTGGGCAATGAGAGTAAAACTCCGTCTCAAAACAAAAAACAACAACAAAAAAACAGCCAAAAGGTGGAAACAACCCAAATGTTCATCAACCAATGAATGGCTGAACAAAATGCGGTCTACCCATCCAATGGAATGTTGTTTGGTCATAAAAAGGAATGGAGTGGCTAGACGCAGTGGCTCACACCTGTAATCCCAGCACTTTGGGAGGCTGAGGCGGGTGGATCACCTGAGGTCTGGCGTTCGAGACCAAGCTGGCCAACCTGGTGAAACCCTGTCTCTACTAAAAATACAAAAATTAGCCGGGCCTGGTGGCAGGCACCTGTAATCTGAGCTACTTGGGAGGCTGAGGCAGGAGAATTGCTTGAACCCAGGAGGCAGAATTTGCAGTGCACCGAGATCAGGCTATTGCACTCCAGCCTGGGCGACAAGAGTGAAATTCTGAGGCTGGGCGCGGTGGCTCACACCTATAATCCGAGCACTTTGGGAGGCCGAGGCGGGTGGATCACGAGGTCAAGAGATCGAGACCGGGCCGGGCGTGGTGGCTCAAGCCTGTAATCCCAGCACTTTGGGAGGCCGAGGCAGGTGGATCACAAGGTCAAGAGATCAAGACCATCCTGGTCAACATGGTGAAACCCCGTCTCTACTAAAACTACAAAAAATTAGCTGGGCATGGTGGCACGTGCCTGTAGTCACAGCTACTCAGGAGGCTGAGGCAGGAGAATTGCCTGAACCCAGGAGGCGGAGGTTGCGGTGAGCCGAGATCGCACCATTGCACTCCAGCCTGGCTAACAAGAGCGAAACTCCGTCTCAAAAAAAAAAAAAAAATGGAGAGATCGAGACCATCCTGGTCAACATGCTGAAACCTCATCTCTACTAAAAATACAAAAATTAGCTGGGCATGGTGGCGCATGTCTGTAGTCCCAGCTACTCGGGAGGCTGAGGCAGGAGAATTGCTTGAACCCAAGAGGCGCAGGTTGTGGTGAGCCAAGATCGCACAATCCCATTCAAAAAAAAAAAAAAAGAGTGAAAAACCATTTCCCAAAAAAAAAAAAAAAGAGAAAGGAAGGAAGGAAGTACTGACACGAGCTACCACATGGATGAACCATGAAAACACTGTGCTAAGAAAGAAGCCAAACACAAAAGGTCGCATATTATATAACATTTCTATGAAATATCCAGAATAGGCCATAGAGATGCAAAGCAGATTACTGGTTGCCAGGGGCTGGGGGTGGGTGGGAATGGGGAATGACAGCTAGTGGTACCAGGTTTCTTTTTGGAGTGATGAAAAAGTTCTGGAATTGGAGAGAGGTGATGGTTACCCACATTGTAAATATGCCAAAAACCACCAAACTGTATAGTACTGGTAACTAGAATATGTGCATGATTAGGCCTATGTGTTAAACAGTTCTATTTGGTCATGTCCCTAGTCCCTGGTTGTGTTGACCTGCCATGGTTTGTTTAACCATTTGCCTACTGTTGAGTACTTGGGTTATTTCCAGGATTTTGTCATCATTGATAACGGTAAGACTTACTTTCAAAGTTTGATATGCTTTTTAAAAAATTCTACTTCCTACGCAATGCCAGGCACTTAAGAAGTACTCTATAAATATTTATTGAATTATCTATGCTTGCTATTCCTGTTTCATTAGTGTAGATAATTACTTTCTGTTCCAGATTATTTCAAAAGACAATATTCCTTAAACTATTAGTCTTTCAGTAAGAGCTGTACATTTTACAGTGTAAGTGGTGTATTTCAGATAGAAAATAGTTTGCTTGCCTTTTCTGATCACAAAGGTAGTGTCTGCTAATTATAAGAGATTCAGATAATGCCCTTGCCTGGGCAGTGGCCTTTATCACAGTCCTCGAAACAATTCCACATCTGCAAAGAAACATGCTTCTTATCTCTGCCATATCATTATCTTCTCTGCATCTTGAGTTTGTTAGACTCATTTTCTTCCAAAAAATTTCTTACGTACCTTCTGCTAGACAGTAGTCTACGATGTATGATGCCATTGTCCTCTTTTTTTTTTTTTTTTTTTTAACTCCCCTCCCCTTCTCCTTTGTCCTCTTGTCCAAATATCATGTCTATCCTGTTTGCAAATAAGAAGGATAATAGGCCAGGCTCAGTGGCTCACAAGGCCTGTAATCCTATCACTTTGGGAGGCCAAGACGGGTGGATTGCTTGAGCTCAGGAGTTCAAAACCAGCCTGGGCAACATGGTGAAACCCTGACACATGCTAATTTTTTGTCACTATAAAAAATTAGCCAGGCATTGTGGCATACACATGTAGCCCCAGCTACTCAGGAGGCCAAGGTGGGAAGATCACTTAACCTGGGAGGTGGAGATTGCAGTGAGCTAAGAAGGCGCCAAGAAAAAGAAGGAAGAATAGTGTGCCATTTGTTCTGCTAAGTCAACATCCTTAATTTCTAACTTTTTTCCTTTCTTTTCTTTTTTAAAACTGAGGCGTGCACTATCATGCCCAGCTACTGGTCTCCTTGCCTCAAGTGATCCTCTTATCTTAGCCTCACAAAGCATTCGGATTACAGGCATGAGACACCATTCACCATGCCTGGCTCAACTTTTCTTTTTTTTTTTTTTGACAGTCTTTCTCTGTCGCCCAGGCTGGAGTACAATTGTGCACTCTCGGCTCACTGAAGCCTCTGCCTCCTCAAGAGACTCTCGTGTCTCAGCTTCCCAAGTAGCTGGGATTACAGGTGTGTGCCACCACACCTGGCTAATTTTTGTATTTTAGTAAAGACGTGGTTTCACCATGTTGGCCAGGCTGGTCTCGAACTCTTGGCCTCAAGTGATCCACTGGCCTTAGCCTACTAAAATGCTGGTATTACAGGTATGAGCCACTGTGCTTGGCCACTTTTTCTCTTTTTTTTTTTTTTTTTTTGGTTTGAGGTCTTCTGACATTCTGAAGCTGTGTGCTTTTCTGTGACCTTTTAAACCCTATGTATTGGCCGGGCATGGTAGCTCACATCTGTAATCCTAGCACTTTGGGAGGCCAAGGTGGGCAGATCATTTGAGGCCAGGAGTTCAAGACCAGCCTGGCCAACATGGTGAAACCCTGTCTGTACTAAAAATACAAAAATTAGTTGAGTGTAGTGGTGCACCTGCATCCCTGTAATCCCAGCTACTCGGGTGGCTGAAGCGGGAGAATCACTTGCATCTGGGAGGCAGAGGTGGCAATGAGCCGAGATTGCGCCACTACTGCACTCCAGCCTGGTTGGCAGAGTGAAACTCTGTCTCAAAAACAAAAACAAAACCCAAAGCCTGTGTATTCCATAGCTCTCTTGTAAGGAATGTACCGATGGGTCTCTTTTCCCTTTCCCTGTGTTGTGCAGTGGAGCTGCTCCTACCCAGCCTCTGTCTGTTCACCTTTCCCTGCTGCCCCGTTGTTACTCAGCACACCTCAAGACGGGATGTGGCAGCAATGGTGGGCCATTCTCTGTTATGTGAAGCTAATAGTGTTATTGACTATGCCTTGCTATTTTTTTCAGAGTCATTTTTCTAGGAACTGTCTGAAACCTGTGTTTTAGCTAACAGCAAGCTTGGACAAGGTGGTTCATCAGAGTCAGGGTTAAATCCTAGGAAATGACGTGAAACTAATGAGCCTTCCCAGTGATGCAGAAGTCTCATCTTCTTCAGCTGTCTATGGCTCTGGGCTTCCTTGTGGGTGGTAAACAGCTTGTGCCTGTGTTGCTGGCAGCCACATAGGTATCTTGGCCAGAGACAGAAATGAAAGAGTGGAGGAAGACCAGGTACTTGTCCCTGGAGTTGTGGATGCACGAAATGCTAGCTGGGCTCATTGCTTTTTTTTTTTTTTTTTTTAAATGCAGGGTTTTACCATGTTGGTCAGGCTGGTCTTGAACTCCCGACCTCAGGTGATCCGCCCGCCTTGGCCTCCAAAGTGCTTGGATTACAGGCATTAGCCACCTCGCCCGGCTGCTTTTTTTTTTTTTTTTTTTTCTATGGAGACAGAGTCTTGCTCTGTTCCCCAGGCTGGAGTGCAGTGGCTTGATCTCTGCTGACTGCAACTTCTGCCTCCTGGGTTCAAGCAATTCTTTTGCCTCAGCCTCCTGAGTAGCTGGGACTGCAGGTGCCCAGCCCACCACCATGCCCGGCTAATTTTTTGTGTTTTATTAGAGATGGGGTTTCACCATGTTGCCCAGGCTGGTCTCGAACTCCTGAGCTCAGGCAATCTGCCTGCCTCGGCCTCCCAAAGTGTTAGGATTACAGGCGTGAACCACTGCGCCCTGGTCCTTTTTTTTTTTTTTTTTTTTTTTGACAGTCTTGCTCTTTCACCCAGGCTAGAGTGCAGTGGCACGATCTCGGCTCACTACAAGTAACCTCTACCTCCCGGGTTCAGGCGATTCTCCTGCTTCAGCCTTCTGAGTAGCTGGGATAACAGGTGTGCACAACCACACCTAGCTAATTTTGTGTTTTTAGTAGAGACAGGGTTTCGACACGTTGGCCAGGCTGGTCTATAACTCCTGACCTGAAGTGATTCGCCAGCCTCAGGCTCCCAAAGTGCTAGGATTACAGGTGTGAGCCCCTGTGCCTGGCCTAGGCTCATTGCTTTTTCCAGCCAGTGCTGATGACTGAAAGACTGTTTTAATCTCAGAACGGTACAGTTATTTGTTAAATGAAAGTACCTCTGTCCGTAGCTGTCTCCTCATCCTTCTTGTCATTATTCTATTTAGATTTCCAGCCCCAGACTCTCCTCTCAGATTTAAGACTGTCTGAAACCTTTATACTTCTTCAGTAAATCTGTTCTGGGATTTTAGGTGCTGGTTGGGCTTTACATAGACCAAGGGACCTCTAACCTCATTCACAAGCACAGGGGAATTGTCATGATGAAGATGAGGTGAGAGAGGGAACTCCTTCTTTCTCTTTGTAGAGCCTTGTCAGTCTGCTTCTCAGGGACAGCTCCAAAGTATGGGGGAAATGAGATTAGAATTCTTGGGTGGTTTTGGATCTGCTGTTTGGTTTTCCTGATCGAGAGCTAAATTTGTATAAAAGAATACAATAGTAGAATAATCATAGCAACTATAAATAATAACGTCAACTAAGTTCATTCTGCTCTCCTGGGGCGTCTTCAGGAATTACCTCTACTTACTTACAACAGTCCTGGAGGTCAAAGATGTTTAATCTGAAGAAACTGAGGCTCCAAGGGGTGAACTGCTTGTCCAGGGTCATCCAGCTGGGGAGTGACAGAGCTCAGATCCAGGCTCCTGTCTGTGACCCCGCTGCCATGCCCCTGCCTTCCACTGCACCAGAACAAAGCCACCACCCCCAGATTGCCGCGGCATGTTTGTGCTTTTATTTCCCTGAATGGCTCCAGGATTTTGCTTTGTCATTTCGGTGCTTGTGTCCTTTGCAACGTCTTTTGCTTCCTTTTATTTTTCTGACCCCAGTAGCATCTGACGCGATGCCTGGGAGGAAGCAGGGTTCTTTGCTTAGACATCTTGGTTTTCATCTGTTTTACAAATTATCCTTGGCCTCTGTGCTCTTTTTCCTTTGATTTCCTCTCTGAAATACTGCTTCTTTAAGGCTATCGTGAAGATGAAGATAACCTGCCCAGGATTTGAGAAGTGTTTTTAGCAAGCAGCTGAGTCTTTAGTGGGGTTGTTTCCATGTTCTGCGTTGCTCTAGTGAAAGTGAGTTGTCTTCCTCACACTGCAGCCGTGGGAACCAGCGCATAGATGGATGCAGGTGGGTGGCAGTTGAACCAAGGGCCAAGTAACGCATTCCATCCTCGGCCACACTGCCCTGGTCTCACGCCTGTATTTCTATGTCCTGAACACATTCCATTTGCGTCCAGGCTCAGCTCTGTTCCCTGAGGGTGTTGGAGTTCTGATAGCCCACTGAAGGAAAGAAGACAAAGAAATGACTCTGTGATTCTAGGGATTGCTTGGAAGCTGTTGCTTAGGGTTGGCTCTCTGCTCTTTCGGGTGCTCCAAACAGGTCCCCAGGGGACAGGCCTTCCAGGGGCTGCCACTTTCTCCAGTGTTAGATCCATGTCTGTTTTCCTGTCCCCCTCTCTTGTCCCAGCTTTATCATCTGAGATCTGGGGCTTCTTTCCAAAGCTGAATTTAAGTTTCATGCTTTCCTTTCTATCCAGCTGTTAGGCAGGGACTTGTGGCAGGAAAAAGAAGAAAGAAATTTCTGTTGTCCTTACGAGGGCAACGGGTGCTGGGTGACATACCAGTTACAGGGAAGTTCTTGCCGACAAGTAGCCTGGCACCTTTCTGCAAGGTGTCTTCTGAGCCAGCTGAATTCATCATGCTGGCCTGTGGAGTCTGAGAACACCATGTTGCTCGTCTTTCCCCTCCCCCCCTCCTCTGTGCCCTAGGAGGAGGCGTGGTATACTCTGGGTCTTTCCTCATCACACAGACTTCTCTCTGTGTTTGATTATCAGCATGAGCCAGCCTTATTCTGAGTCTATTCATTCATTTATTCATTCAGCAATCATTTTGTGCGAGGCACCATGGTAACCTGCATTTCAAGGCTGTAATTGCTGTTATCAAGCCATTTGCAGAAGTTTGGGTCACTGATATGCTTTTGACCCGATGCCCGTTTTATCAACCCAGGGATTCTCTTGAGTAATACAGCATCTCGGTACCTCTTCTCCAAGAGTTATGGCTTAGGTTTTTGTTTTTGTTTTTATTTTTTAAATGAGGCTTTCTGGCAAAGACCTGAAAGCCTGCTAGACAAATTCTGAAAGAGCTGTAACACTAAGGCCTGGGTTTCAATTCTGACTTCATGCAAAGAAGATGCTTGAAGCAAGCCCCTCACTGCCTCGACTCATTGGTTGCTCAGTGAGTTAGATCCCTCTCCCCTCCCTTGCTATCTATTTGCAGTTCCTAGCATAGATCCTCAGCATTGGTGTATTCACTGCCTCTGGCTAAAGTGACTGTTGTCACTACCCTGCCCCTCCTCACCAGCCAATGGCTTATCATTTCTTCCCAGCTTGTCAAGTTCCTGGAGATCTCAGGAGACACAGACCCTACTCAGGGCTCTGCAAAGATGTTCTTTAAGGGTGTGACTAAAGGGATACATTTTTTTTTTTTTTTTTTTTTTTTTGAGATAGAGTCTCACCCTGTTGCCCAGGCTGAAATACAGTGGCTTGATCTCAGCTCATTGCAACTTCTGCCTCTCAGGTTCAAGTGTTTCTCGTGCCTCAGCCTCCTGAGTTGCTGGGATTACAGTTATGTGCCACCACGACTGGCTAATTTTTGTGGTTTTAGTAGAGACAGGATTTCACCATGTTAGCTAGGCTGGTCTGGAACTCCTGGCCTCAAGTGATCCACCTGCCTTGGCCTCCCAAAGTGCTGGGATTATAGTGTGAGCCACCATACCTGGCCTGAAGAGAGAATTTGAAAATAGAAAAAAAATTTTCCATTCATTTTACCTTTTGAGGCTAACCCAGTCAGCTGGAGATAGTCCATGTGGGCCCATAGTTCCAGGACAGTGTGAGTCTTCAGGGACTCTCCTGAAACCCTCTTGTTTCTACAGGTGCTGGAAACTTACGGGGCTTGGTTTAGTTCCTCTCTGAGCTACCCTATTGAAGGAACTTCTGGGTAGATGAAATCTTATAGGGAGAAGTTCTGAATGTTGCTGCCCCCTCCTCCTGGGCCTTCTCCACTGGTCTTGGGGTGCTGCCTTGAAGCCAGAGTTAAAAGACTATTAGGAGGTCACACATGCTCAGCATGGCTTAGGGGATGAGGACGCTTTTTATTTATTCTTCTGTCTCTTACCTCCCTACTCATCTCATTACTACACCCACACCGCTAAAAAGAGAATGGTGGAAGTAGATTTTGTTGGGCTGGGAGTGGTGGCTCACGCCTGTAATCCCAGCACTTTGGGAGGCTGAGGTGGGCGGATTATTTGAGGTCAGGAATTCTAGACCAGCCTGGCCAACATGGTGAAACCCCATCTCTACAAAAACAAAAAATTAGCTGGGGTTGGTGGTGCGCACATGTAATCCTAGCTACTCGGGAGGCTGAGGCATGAGAATCTCTTGAACCCAGGAGACAGAGGCTGCAGCGAGCCTGGATCGTGCCACTGCACTCCAGCCTGGTCAATGAGCGAGACTCTGCCTCAAAAAAAAAAAAAAAAAAGTAGATTTTATATATGATTTTTTTTTTTTTTTGAGACAGAGTCTCACTCTGTCTCCAGACTGGAGTGCAGTGGTTCAATCCCGGCTCACTGCAACTTCCGTTTTCCGGTTTCAAGCGATTCTCCTGCCTCAGCCTCCTGAGTAGCTGGGACAACAGGCACGCACCACCACGCCTGGCTAATTTTTTGTACTTTTAGTAGAAATGGGGTTTCACCATATTGGCCAGGATGGTCTTGATCTCTTGACCTCGTGAGCCACTGCGCCTGGCCGATTTTGTATGTTTTTTGAGATGATGTTTCACTCTGTTGCCCAGGCTGGTCTTGAACTCTTGGACTCAAGCAGTCCTCCTGCCTCAGCCTCCCAAAGTGCTGGTATTGTAGGCATGAGCCACCACTCCTAGCCTAGAAGTAGAATGTTAATTGCAGAGTTGGTTTTAGTGGACTCAAAACATTATAGTTTGTTTACCTCCCTTCTACAGGACTTGGGAGTGGAAAGAGGAATTTTAATTGCCTTGCATATGAATTTTTCTTTTTTTTTTTGAGACAGAGTCTTCCTCTGTTGCTCAGGCTGGAGTACAGTGGTGCGATCTCGGCTCACTGCAACCTCTACGTCCTGGGTTGAAGCAATTCTCCTGCCTCAGCCTCCCGAGTAGCTGGGATTACAGGTACCTGTCACCATACCCGGCTGGTTTTTGTATTTTCAGTAGAGATGGGGTTTCACCAAGTTGGCCAGGCTGGTCTTGAACTCCTGTCCTCAGGTGACCCACCCGCCTCAGCCTCCCAAAGTGGTGGGATTACAGGCGTGAGCCACCATGCCCCGTCATGAAATTTCCTTTAATGCAAAATTCTTTAAGAGGCAGGAAAAGAGTTCTATTTGCTGTTTTCATCACCACCTGGAGAGGTCACTGGCTGCTGTGAGGGAAGGGACTTGGGCATTTGACTAAAGATTTTGCAAATCATGGTGGGTGCTCTATCATGTATGTGCTAACTTAGGGGAAAACTAACCAGCTTCCAGTTCGTCCCCTTCCTGCAGCAGGAGGTCCTCTTGGA